TTTTTTTTTTTTTTTTTTAACATAAACTGACACCAGATTTTCAGGTTTAATTTTAGGAAAAAACACTTTTCCCTTCCTGAATATAAGTCAGCAGATACAAATCTAGACCACAAACCATGACTGTCCTTACAAAAACCTACAAGAGGCTCAAATACCAAATAAAAAATCCAAAGAGTTAAATGCACTAAAATACCAAGATAAAACCTGCACAGAAAAGAGCAGGTTTTTATTGCACACACAAAGTTACCTGAAGCATATGACTCCAGACTGTTGGGGCCTGGTTATAGCTCAGCCCTGCATATAAGTGTGACTTCTATGGTTCTTTTGGAAGTAAAAAGGTTGGAAAGCAGAACAGCATGATATTAATGAACTGAAATGAAAAACTATCTTCTTTTAGCTTAAAACAATTCAAAAAATGTTACCAGCTCTACAAAACATTTCTTCTCTTTATCCCTCCCCTTTGGCTTCTGGCAAAAATCCAGATTTCCTTCCGCTCTTCTGCCCTCCCAATCATTCTGCTTTGTATCAGTCACCAGGCCCAAAATATACCCCATTCTAGCACCATCCTGCTTGGTTTACAATGTATACACATGTTCTGGGACTATTTGCTATTGATTTGCAGGCCAAAAAAAACTGAACTGCACCAAGTTTGGTAGGCTCACAGCAAGCTATCAAATTCTGGGTACAGACAGGATTAGCTCATCAAATATTTCTGAACAGTACCCTCAGCCCAACCTGAAATATTTTAGGGTTCTCATTCAAGGAGTGAGCAGCCAGCCCCAGTCTTGTAAACCACACAATTCAGCCTATTAGCAGCTTTCACCATTCCTTTAAGCTCTAAATTGAACTTCATTACATTCTTTAAAACAAACAATGCCTCTTTAACACTACCCTGCATGTCTGTAGAACCAAGTAGAGGCCACAGTTACCCCCTCGCTTTACCCTAGATAAATATTTCATGGGTAGCAGGATACTATCTGACAATCTACACAACAGGGCAAGAGGAGTTAAGAACCCACGTTTTTTTGAAACACTCTAGACCAGTGGGAGCTAACCTTTTTGGCAGGCATGCCACACTCTCCCCGAGTGTCACACCAAATCCCTTTCCCTGCCCAAACTGCTGCTCTGCTCCCTGCTCCCTGCCTGCTCTACTCTCTGCCCACTCTGCTGCTCTGCTTTCTGCTTCCTGCCCTATCTGCTGCTGTCCGGCCTGGCCCCTCCTTGATCTGCTGCATGCCACTCACAGATGCTGCCCATGCCACTTGTGGCATATGTGCTGCAGGTTGCCCACCCCTGCTCTAGACCACAAAATCAGCTGAGACATCACCTGGCCCCTAATGTTCTATAAGAAAGCCAAACTGAATAATACATTTGGGTCAAATTAACTAAGGCCTATGCCTTTGCTGAAGCAGGAGTGAGGAAACTGAACAGGGCATTCTGAGAAGGATCACTGCTTTGGGAGTGAATCAACTGGTATTGGTCAGACACCAAGTTTTGCAAATGGATGCTTTGCAAGGCCCAGGTGTCAAAATCAAAACTATGGATGACTGAATCCTGGCAATTTATGTAGCATCTTTTGGAGGGATAAAAGTTCTAGCAGTCTGTGTCCCTTTGGGTGAGCAGAAAAGGCACTGATGAAGGAAGAAAGATGGCTTGTCCATGACCAGGTCAGCTATTTATACACGCATCAAATGTAAAAAAGAAAAAAGAAAAAAAAGGTGTTTTCCCTGAATGTCACAAATCATACATGAGCAGACTTCCTAAATCAATCACTAAATACTGTTTAGTTTTCTCTCCTGAGTGGGTTTGGGGAGGGAAAGGAGAGGTTGCACAGTTAAAAACTTAACTTTTGTTGGAAAAAATTCTTTCCCAAAGCCACCACTCTTCTCAAATCATCACTAGATGGTGTCCCAAAAAGAACACCTTGGTAATTTCCATGGATCCAATTCCATGGACTCAGTTACAAACAAATGAAGACCTGCCAAGTTTGCAAATAGGTGCATCACACCTATGTAGATGGAACAGCACACTGTGCTAAAAGCGTAAGTGCATCTGTCTTGTTTTCATTTACCTAAGCCACGTCTGTTGGCACATCACTCTTTTTTAGTTACTGGATGGAAGCATGTAGTCTATGACCAGATTCATATCAACTAAACTCTACCCATCAGTGCTTACCAAACTAAGTGTGACAAATGTGAAGAATGACATTTTCAAATTCTCTAGTTATAAGAATAGGATCTGAAAAATCTTCTGAACTTGTTCCTGAATGTAACTATGCTCCTATCCATCCTCAACTCTGGGCTCTGAACAGATGTACAGAAAATTCAGAGAAAAGAGTAAATTTTTGTGCGAGTTACTGAAGTACCTGGGAATAGGACTGGAATGAAAGATCCTCCACAGCTATGGCTTTAAGCATTTGACCCACCTCTTGGATAACAACTCTATAGTTAGCAAAGTTGCTGCAGCTAAATCAGTGTTGAAGGTACCCAGAGTTTCCCATGAAGTCCTCTCCATCAGTATTAGATACAACACAACTATTTTTAGCAAAAAGAAAAAATAAGCTATGCCAATGATTTGCTGGTTACAAAAGACTCAAGGGATGTTTAAAAAGGAAAAAAAAAAGGTGCTTCAGGTTTTGCAGCAGCAGGCTGTCCATCAGAGCATTTCCTAAAGTAGAAGCAGCATTACCTGGGAAGCCCAGAGAGCTGGCTGTGGGGGGGCAAATGGACAACATGGACAGACCTTTCAGTCACTCTCCCAAGTCTTAGCTTTTTTTCCTTTTCTTTTTCTTTCATAAAAAAATCCAGTTACAGTCCCAGGTTAGAAAGTTGGAAGGCAATAGCTGAGAGACCCCTTCTGAGTTAGCAGAAGGCCTGAAAAAATAAGTGAAGTATGAACTGCCTCTTATCATTTCAGCAGCTGCTAACTGAAAAGCTAATGATTATGTTATACAAATGTCACTGCTTTATTGCTAACAAAAACAGGTGAGAGAGAGGAAACAAGCAATATTTTCTTACATAAAATATGACCCAGAATGTAATATTCCCCTTGTTTTTGAAAGACAGAATGAAGGAAAAAAAAAGCTTTTTCCCAGAGTTATGGCTCCCCAGAACAAGTACAGAGCCTAATCTTCAACTCACTCATCCTCCCCTGTCCCACTTAACTAAAGCTGAAACCCAGGAGCTAGTCTAATTAAAGTGCCCTCAGCACCTCATGTAGTCAGCATCCCACACCTCAAAAAGGCGGTGGGGGCACCTTAACTAAAGCTAGTTCAACGAGCTTTAGTTAAGGTGCCCGCACTGCCATTTTGGAGTGTGGGAACGCTGACCTGAATACACATGATGCCGAGGCTGCTGGAGTGTGCTAATTTTGAGTCTGCTCCAATGTGTTCCAGTTAGAATGTCTTGGAGCAAGTGTTGAGCACGTGTGAATTTGAAAAGAACTGGAGAGTCTCCAAGGCTGTGAAACAGGAGGAGAGAGACCAGGAACACAAAGATCATTAAAAAGGAAAGAGAATTGTTAACACATGTGGAATGAAAAACAATGAGCCATTAAGTCAACTGACTCCCTCTGCCTAAATAGTGATGTACTGTGGAGCACGAATCAAAGCAGGGTGCTTCTATCTTGATCAGAAAATCAGGGAAAATCATCTTCCCTGCTTAATACACACACCCCAATTGGAAGAGGAGGAGGTGTGGAGGGGAGGGC